TCTTTCGCATTTACATTTGGTTATGATGTACCGGGAAACACGTAGTAACGACAAAGATTACTTGTTTATTTGAGCAGCAGCGTCTCATAAGCTCCTATATTTTATGTCAGGTCGTACATCTAGAGTTTCTCAGCTTCAACGTGGCGTCCTCTAAAAACTGCTCCAATGATTCGCTGACTGTGTACAACGGAGCCGATGGCAATGCGAACATGTCAGCTAGACTATGCGGTTGTGAGATACCAGGCGACCAAATCTCCACAGACACCAATATGTTCCTGCATTTCGTCAGCAATGATAATGCATCTTTGATCGGCTTCAAGATCCGCTATAGTTTTAATGAATCTAAACGTAAGTAGTATAGATACACGCGATCCTTTCACAGATTCAGTTATGTGTTCACTTCATGAATAAAACAACAAAATACGCGACTTCTGTGGCTTCTTTCGAATGTTTGTACGCGTGCGCGTGCGCGTGTGCGTACGTGCGTGTGCACTTACGTACGTGCGGGCGCGTGCGTGTGTGTGCGTGTGTGCGTGCTTGTGAGCGTGTGTGCGTGCTTGTGAGCGTGTGTGCGTGCTTATGTGCGTGCGTGCGTGCGTGAGTGTTTACATTTGGCCTTACCTATGCGCTATAGTTACGGTAAGTAACAACCGGGGCGCTATTCTTGGTTTTTATTTTGAACCTCTAGCGTGGGAAGGATGTGACGGGTACACTCACACCTACGACAACCCAGCGGGCGGTATCATGACGTCACCAATGTACCCTAAGAATTACCCTAACAACGTCGACTGCAAATGGCATTTCAAAGCACCGCCTGGGAGAGTATAAGGAGATATATTGTTTATCATATGAAATTGATTCCAAAAACAGATTTCTTTCCCTTCGAGTCATCATTGAATTTGTAAGGCAGCAGCGTCTGATAATCTCCTATATATTTACTGCAGCTCGTACATCTAGAGTTTCTCAGCTTCAACGTGGAACCCTCCCGAAACTGCTCCAATGATTCGCTGACTGTGTACAACGGAGCCGATGAGAGTGCGAACATGTCAGCCAGGCTATGTGGGCTTGAAATACCCGATGACCAAATCTCCAGAGACACGGACATGTTCCTGCGTTTCGTCAGCGATTCTAACGAAATTTACATCGGGTTCATGATCCGCTACAGTTTCAATGATTCTAACCGTAAGTAGCGACAGATGATATAATATCGAATGCAATTATTTATACTTTATGGAAAAATGAATATCGTGGTGATTTTATTAATTATTTTTAGTTAAAATGAAAATGTGTGCCTGCGTGCAAATGTTTGTATATTAATTTTGTAATTTTAATGATTTTGAATGAAAATGAATGTGCGGTGCGTTGCGTACGTGCGCGTGGCGTGTATGTGTGCTAGGCCCATATCTATATGCGCTAGTTTATGCGTAACTCCATGCAAAAACCGCCACCGTATTTATGGTTGTCGTTTAACCTCTCAGCCATTGGAAGGATATGGCTGGGCCACACTCATACCTACGACAACCCATCGGGCGGGCATCATGACGTCACAATGTTCCCCCACAATTACCCAACAACGCCGACTGCAAATTGGCACTTCCAAGCTCCATTCGCGAAAGGCTAAGGCAGACCTTTTGCTGATTTTTTTTTGCGTTAGATCAACGTAATATAACTGCTTCCTTTCTCTCAGTTGACTTGTAGACATTAGTCATGCATTTAAGTAGATTATAATGCCTGCAAACGCCCAAATCGCGCTCGAATTTTTGTTTAAATCACCACGAAGCTTAGCTAAACGCCCTGCGTCCTCTGCCGTCAAACGAAGGTGATCACGATCATATAGAGCAGCAGCAGCGTCTGATAATCTCCTATATATTTACTGCAGGTCGTACATCTAGAGTTTCTCAGCTTCAACGTGGAGTCCTCTAAACAACTGCTCAATGATTCGCTGGACTGTGTATAACGGAGCCGACGCCAATGCGACCATGTCAGCCACGTTATGTGGGCATTAGCGTTGCCCAAGGATCAAGCTTTCAACGAAAACGAATATGTTCCTGCATTTTGTACAGCGATTCTAGTAGAAGCTACAGTGGGTTTCAGATCCGTACCATTTCAATGAAACTAAACGTGAGTAGAGATTTGTGCTCTCATACACGCCCTACGATAATCTGCGCTCTTCATACATACAAAATTAAAATGGTAAAGTTTGCTTAATTAATCTAGTTAAAAGGTACGATTGCACGCGTGCATATGTGCGGTGCGTTCGTGTGTTGTGTACGCGCACGCGTCGTGTTCGTGCGTGTGCGTTTGTGGCTTGCCTCCGTGTGCGCCCAATTAACCAATCTCCGTGTTAAGAACCGTACCGTAATTACTGTTGTCATCTGAAACCTCTAGCATGGGAAGGATGTAACGGAGTTCATCACACATACGACAATCCATCGGGCGGCATCATGACGTCACCATTGTTCCAACAATTACCCCAACAACGCCGACTGCAAATGGCACTTCAAGCTCCTCTAGGAAAGGTAAGGCAGACCTTTGCTGATTTTTTGGTTAGATAAACGTAATATAACTGTTCCTTTTCTCTATTTGACCTTGTATGACATTAGTCATGCATTTAAGTCGATTATAATGCCTGCAAACGCCACAATCGCGCCTCGAACTTTAGTTAAATCACACGAAGCCTTGGCTAAACGCTGCGTCCTCTGCCGTCCAAACGAAGGTGATCACATTCAATATAGAGCAGCAGCAGCGTTCTGCATAATCTCCTATATATTTACTGCCAGGTCGTACATCTAGGAGTTTCTTCTAAGCTTCAACGTGGAGTCTCTAACAACTGCCCTCCAATGAGTCGCTGACTGGTGTATAACGGAGCCGACGCCAATGCGACCATGTCAGCCACGTTATGTTGGGCATAGCTTGCCCAACGATCAAGCCTTCAACGAAACGAATATGTTCCTGCATTTTGTCAGCGATTCTAGTAGAAGCTACAGCTGGGTTTCAGATCCGCTACCGTTTCAATGTAACTAAACGTGAGTAGAGATTTGTGCTCTCATACACGCTACGATATTCTGCCGCTCTTCATACATACAAAATTAAAATGTAAGTTGCTAAATTAATCTAGTTAAAAAGGTACGTCGCTACGATTTGCACGCGCTGCATATGTGCGGGCGTTCGTGTGTTGTGTACGCGCACGTGTGTGTTCGTGCGTGTGCGTTTGTGCTTGGTTCGTGTGCGCCAATTAACAATCTCCGTGCTAAGAACCGCCTACCTAATACTGTTGTCATCTGAACCTCTAGCATGGGAAGGATTGTAACGCGAGTTCATCACACATACGATAACCCATCGGCGGCATCATGACGTCACATTGTTCCCAACAATTACCCAACAAACGCCGAACTGCAAATGGCTCTTCCAAGCTCCATTCGCGAAGGTAAGGCAGATTTTGCCTGATTTTTTTAGCTCATCTGACATAGTCAGATGCAGCTTGTAGAATCGCAATGCATCGTCCGTGCGTCCGTGCGTCCGTGCGTGCGTCCGTCAACAGTTGGGCACAAATCTTCACCGCCTCGACGTACGGTCACGCATATTTGGGACGTGGGGGGTAATCCGAAACGAGTTGGGATGTCGAAGCTGGGGGTCAAAGGTCAAAGGTCAAGAGTGTAAAAGAAGGGGAACATTCACTCCTTAACTTAAGGTTATAGGGAGAATGCAGAATTGCTGGCACAAATCTAAACGGCTCGACCTAGGCTCGTGAATAGTCGGTGTATAGCATCATGGATACGGAAAAGCCATCACTGTGCCGAAATTGGAGGTCACAGGTCAAAGGTCAGTGGGCACAGTGGCAGATTTTAGACATTTTCTGAGGACATTGGTCTGACGGAGCGATTGAAAAACTTTTTTGTTTCAGCGGTGGACTAGCATTTTTATGGCTTTATTGAAAGGACCATGAAATTGTCCCTTCTGCTGACATCGAAGAGTAAGTGTCGGATAACCTTTTGACCCTCAGAGGAGGTTAAACTTGGATTTGTGACTGTCTGTTAGAAAGAATTTGACTGCTGCGGTTTGCTAGTAGAATTATACATGCCTGGCATGTATGAGGCCTACAATGTCACAGCTGAAATTTCAAAGCTAAATTTGGTTAAGAAGGTGTATGTTCCTTAAATCGTATAATTCTAGTATGTCATTCCTGTCACTGTCAGTATGTTACATGTAACGTATGCCACTGCCAGTGGCTGCTGCCAGTGCATGTGTTGGTGCAGTTTTTGCCTGCGTTAATTGCGTTACAGGTGGGCAGCTCTCTATTGCAATTTGCAGCCTGTAGGCTTGCGTAGGTAAATGGATGAGTGCCTTACCTATTCTGTCTTGCAAATAGTGTTGCTACGAGTATGAATGGGAGCTTCCATCTTTAATCTGAGACACTTAAAGTACGCCGCCATCTCGTGGCAACTTCATAACGATCCCAACGAACATTTCTTTGAGAAGGTTCCTGATACCATCCCTGTGCATTCCACTGTTTTCGGCGTGTAATTGTGACACATTGGGCATAACAGGGTTTACTAGAATTCCCACCACTCCACACAGAGTCACCGCAGTAACGTTGATTGGCGCTGTCGCCTCTGCGGCACTGTTTGGTTAGATCAACGTAATATATACTGTTCCTTTTCTCTGTTTGACCTTGATAGACATTAGTCATGCATTTAAGTCGATTATAATGCCTTGCAATACGCACAGACGCGCTCGAATTTTAGTTGAATCACCACGAAGCTTAGCTAAACGCTGCGTCCTCTCGTCCAATACGAAGGTGATCACATCATATAGAGCAGCAGCAGCGTCTGATAAGCTTCTTATATATTTACTGCAGGTCGTACATCTAGAGTTTTCTCAGCTTCAACGTGGAGTTCCTCTAACAACTGCTCCAATGATTCGCTGACTGTGTTATAACGGAGCCGACGCCAATCGCGACCATGTCAGCCAGGTTATGTCGGCATAGCTTTGCCCAAGGATCAAGCCTTTCAACGAAACGAATATGTTCCTGCATTTTGTCAGCGATTCTTAGTAGAAGCTACAGTGGGTTTCAGATTCCGCTACCGTTTCAATGAAACTAAAACGTGAGAGTTAGAGATTTGTGCTCTCATACACGCCTACGATAATCTGCATATGTGCCGGGGTTCGCTGTGTTGTGTACGCGACGCGTGCTGTTCGTACCGTGCTGTGCGTTGTGTGCTTGTCTCCTGTTCGTGCGCCATTAACATATCTCCGTGGTAAGAACCGCTACCGTAATTACTGTTGTCATCATCTAAACCTCTATGCGATGGGAAGGATGTAACGCGATGTTAATGCACACATACGACAACCATCAGGGCGGCCATCCATGACGGTCACACATTGTTCCCCACAATTACCCCAAAAATTCCTCGATTGCAAGTGGCACTTCCAAGCCACCGCTTGGAAAGGTTAAGAAGAGACATATAATTATAGTAATAATAATACTAATATAATAGTATATATATACTATAATTATAATTACTAATATAATAATTTACAATATATTTCCCGAGAGTTGGCTTCGAAGCAGATTTCATTTTCTTCAATTTGATATAATCTCGTGAATTTTACAGCGGGTTTATGACGCGCGTCACATTGCCACTAATATATATGTGAGAGCTACTTGTTTATTCGGAGAGGTGACGGCACATAATAGTAGTAACATCGCACATTTAGCATACCTTTTACACCAACGCAACACATGCAATTGAGTATGACATCTACGTTATGTACCCATGTACATTATTACAATACTATATGCCCTTTATGTTACACTAACTGCCAGTAAACTGGCAATGTACACCTGAAATAGCCTAAATAAGCTTCCGGCACACGGCATTCTTGTGAGTTCAGCCACACAGAGACTTAGATCGCGACAAGACGCTGTGTCTGCTGCCGTCTTTGTGACGACGACCACATCGCATAGAGAAGCAGCAGCGTCTGATAAGCTTCTATATATTTACTGTAGGTCGTACATCTAGAGTTTCTCAGCTTCAACGTGGAATCCGACGAATACGTGAAAAATTGCAGCCACGATGCTCTGTTCATCTACGATGGCTACTTTCCCTATGGCGATATCTTAGGCCAGCTATGTGGGCACAGCCTACCCGAAAACCAGATCTCAAGCGGCAGAAATATGACTCTGCATTTCGTCAGTGACTATGGTTTAACATACAGTGGGTTCAAGATCCGATACAGTTTTAATGATTCCGAAGGTAGGTAACGTCAGATGTTATTTTTCCTCCAGTTTAATCTGGATGTATTCAACAAATAAATTTAGATTTCAAACGGTTTTTTTATGGTAAACATGTGTGACTGCTCATGTCTGTACGCGTACTTTTCTATGCGTACGTGTATACATTTAGTCGTGACTCGTTAGTAATACACACGTATATACGTGAGAAATGACGTAAATACGTTTACGTTAAATAATAGTGGTACATCCTTGTAATAATCATGTTGTTGTCTCGGTTGTCACACACAGCTATTGCACTGGAAGGATGTGAAGGGTTTACTCACATCTACGACAACCCATCGGGCGGCAACATGACGTCACCAATGTTTCCTAAGAATTATCCCAACAATGCCGACTGCAAGTGGCTCTTCGTAGCGCCAGCTGGAAAGGTAAGAGAAACGACAGCCTATTTAACCGAGTTGGTGCGTGAAATGGACTTTTCTCGCTCCTATATTTAATCTTGAATCCATGACTCGTGTATACGTTGGTTTATAAATATATGTACGGATGATAAAAGTTACTTGATAACTCAAAGTGGAAGAGGCTAATTTGAAATAATCGCACATGTAATGTGACAGGGCTAGGATCTGATGCTCTGTTTGTCTACGATGGCACCGATGAAATAGATTTCTTCCTTTTCCATTTATCATTGAATTTACAAGGCAGCAGCTTCTGCTAAGCTTCTACATTCACTGCAGGTCGTGCACGTAGAGTTTCTCAGCTTCAACGTGGAGTTGTCTTCGGATTGCAACTACGATGCACTCGTGGTGTACGATGGCGTCGAAGAGGATGGCGTCTTGCTAGGACAACTATGCGGCCACAGCTTACCCATGAACCAGGTCTCCAGCAGCAGAAACATGGCTATGCATTTTGTCAGCAGTTCCTACATGTCTTATAGTGGCTTCCAGATCCGCTACAGTTTCAATTATTACGGAGGTAAGTCAAAACTAATGTGTTATCACTGGGTTAATAACGTGTCAATACATAACGTTTTTGTTGTTGGAATTAGTGTTATCTACACGGCTGCGCGTGCGTTGTGAAATCCGTGAGTGGGTGCGCTACAAGCGCCCGTATGCCGTGTGCACCGCCCGTATATAGGGGCAGTAGGTTTTACGCCCGTGAGCGTTGCTGCGTACGAACGTCTTCGATCGCGTACACTTGTGTTAAAGGTGCGTGCGTGGGTCGCGTGGGTCATGCAGCGCCTGTGGTGCTTTGTACCAGCGTCATTAGATGTGTGTTGTGCTGGGTGGTGTGTGTGTTTTGTGTTAGGTGTTTGTGTGTGGTGTGCGTGTACGTGCGTGCGTGCGTTGCTGCGTATCGGCGTGCTCTGTGTGTCAACATGTGTGCTGTCAGTGGTGGCGCGCTGGCTGTGTATCAGTGTGTGTTGTGTGTGTGCGGACTTGTACGTCGCACTATGCTTGCGTGCGTGCGTGTGAGCTACGTGCGTGCAGCGCAGTCCGAGCGCCTGATGAGCGCTCGTATATTATTGTGCAGGTCTAGCATCCAAAAGTTCAAAGCCACAAGCAGCTATCGTTTAGCAGGCGCAATCAAGCGTAATAAGCACGACGATTGAGCGCGGGTGACGTAGGACGAGCGGACGATGACGATACATCGTGTTACCCCAGATATCTGCATACGGCTAACTTAAGGATCCGACTGACAACGCCCCGACATAACTTCCACATAATAGACTTCCCGAGAGATGCGCCTGCATTCCTCAATGTATATTGAGATCTCGGTTCATCACCCGCTACCAGTTTCACTGGCTTTTGGCCGTGCGACTGGAAGGGCCTGAATAATAAAGTCGTAGATTGCGACTACGAAAATGATAGCAATTAGGGAATAAATAGCATGGTTTTTTATAGATTATATATGTATGCGCGCGCGCGCGAGCGAGGCCTTAAGATAGTATAAATTTTCGTTTAATTTTTAGTTATCGATTGGGTATATATATATATATATATATAGGCCTATATACTATATACAGGCAACGACCCTGATATTCCTTTATTGATCTGTGGATCGTTTTCTCGATTTCTTGCTATACTGTAGGCAAAGGGTTAGTATTTTATTTTATTTGATATTATAAGAGCACGAAACGGGCGCTTGTGGGTTTAAAATCATTATAGAAAACTCAAATTCCAGCTCTTTTTGTTAGGTGCTCATTTCGTCTGAATTCGTGGGACGGCATGACAGTAACGCGGATCAATCCCACTTTTCAGTGTAAAATATGTTCTAGATTTTATGCTTTGTTTGTTTCATTTTTTAACCAACCAAATTTTATATTTATCTAGTTATTCATGCATTATCGTAGTACGTGCATGTATATTGATTGTTATAATTATTTTGCCAATGTATCTGGGAGGTATTTGTGCAATAAAATTTATTTGAATTTGAATTTGAATTTGAATTTAACCAACAATTAATTATAGGTATTATACCTTATAGGTATTATATGATACTAGCTATTACCCGTCCTCCAGACGTGTTTGAGTGGGGTCTGATTTGAGGATGGTGGTTTAACCATTTATCTCTCACTATTATTTGAGGATGTATTTACAGTAAACGACAAATATTTAGACTCGAGTCATATATCAATATCTAAATACATATAAAATCTGAAATTTTACCTTAAAATGACATACAATTTTTCAAAAAAAGGGAAATGGGGTGATTTCATAGTACAATTTCACTTATTTATATATTATTTTTGAAAATATCATTCTGGTTAGAAGCATCAATAATAAGTCAAATTCTTTTTAAAAAAAACACAAAATGCATTGAGTAGTTTTGAAGAGATATTTTCTTGAAAGTCAGTGGACGGCGGCGGGCAGGGTTACACCTCCCGT